ACAGTCAATACTTACAATTTTACACCTGAAATTGGATTTGGATCAATTTTTTTATGCAGCTCTCTCACACATTGCTAAGCACTTGTGATGGCCCCTTCAGTTCTACATCATGGACAGGGGTCTGCCTACAGACAGTGTCTTCAGCTGAGTTTTGACAGGTCTGACAGTTTCAAGTTCAGCAAATGTGTGTGTCTGGGGAAAAAAGGTGCCATTGTAACTACTTTTACACTTTTTGTTGACTGTTTTGGCTTTTTTCTTTTTAAAAATCTAATAAAAGCTCAGGTTCACAGGGAGCTACCACAAAAGTTCTATAGAGAGGGCAGATTTTGATACGATGGAAATATTTAGACAAATGTTACACCACTGAACTGTTTTGCTTTGGTTTTTTGCATAAGAATAGTTCAACTTTTATAAACAGACATTGTTTCTAATAGAGCAAATTTGGTTTTAAACACATCTCTTTATTACATTAGGAGAGTATGTTTTCCAAAAATCTGTTTTTCAAGAAATTGGCCATCAGTAAAACCTAGTACAATTGCACAGCTAGCATTTCATAGCTACACACAAATAAAAGCAAATCCAAATAAAATAAAATTTAATAAAAACCAAAAAAAAATTGTAAGGCTCTTTATTTAATGACTAGTTTAAGTGCTTTTTCTCTCTAAACCCTTAAGTTATTTCAAACATAAATCTACCTTTTTTCACATTGTAAAACCTAGGGAAATATATGCACAGATCACTGATGTCTCACTGTAAGTCTCTGTGTGTCTATTCTGTCCCCTGCACCTTCTTTCTCCTCCCCCAGTTCTAAGTTACACATGATTCATAACCTCTTGACTTTCATGTCTCTATTGGAATTACGCTGGTATAGCTGATCAGTCGTTAGTACCTGCATGTAACATATGCAGACAGATTTTTTTTTTTTTTTAAAGCCTGAATTTCAACAGACTAGCACATCTTTGTACATCTGGAGGCAGACTCCTCCTTAGAGATTGAGAAAGGAATTTAGAAGAGGGAACATGCATCATCAGTTAGTTTCACCACATGAAGCACTGATTTGCACACTACTGGCTGATCTTGTCAATCCATCCCATACTTAAAGCTCTACTTTTATGTAAGTCTCTCTTCTGTGATACTTCTTAACAGCTTTAAATAATGAGAAATGGAAATTTCCTAGCATGACACAAAATGCCTTATTCTGGTGTAAGGAAGCTCTACAACAACAAATTTTAGAGCTGCCAACACTTTCTCATCTAAGCAGACTTTCTTATTTATAGTTTCTGGGAGAGCAAAAAGGTGCATTATGCTGTCCTAATATTAATTATGCAGATAAATAAATTGCAACATGGTTATTAACACTGTGTAGGAAACATAAAATGAAACAAATTTTTAAATCACGTCAAAAATCCTGTGAAAGTGCATGCATCACTATTGCTTCTGCAACTTGTTTTTCCTCTTCCACCAGCAAATAAAGTACTGGAATAAAAGTTCTCAACTGGTAGGTGAAATTCTTGCTATTTGCTATAAGGAGATATATCACAGTCTTCAACTAAAACTATTTAGCTGGGAAAATCAGTGCTAGAAATAGTATATGCCTCTCTACACAAGGTAGCTTGACAGGATCATCACCTAAGTGAGCAGTTTTTGATGGGCAGTGGAAGGAAAGTAAGCTCTTTCAGTAGATACACTCCTTTTTCATATTTCACTATGACAACTCCTGGGAACTATTTTGTCTTTTTATTAGTTTTTTGCAGCTGTTCATCCATACGCTACACCAGACTCTCACTCCATTAGTTTTATTTAATAGTTTATACTCCATCTACCATCCCTCTCAAAGGAAGACAAATCAAACAAGTACATTGCTGTTTTGGCATACCATAAACTACCAAAAAAAAAAAAAAAAAAAAGAAAGGAAAAAAAAAGTTAGTTATAAATAAAACAAAAGCGTTGATATCTCTGTAAAGTTAGTACTGAGTTTACAAGCTTTAAAGTACCTACCACTCAGTACCACTCAGCCTTGGTTGATGTTCAGAATCCCACACAGCATTTGGCTCTGGATCTAATACTAGTACGAGATGACTTTACAGGATAGCGTATTAATGCAGCATTCAAATTAAAGGGCTTTTAGCTGTTACAAATTGATTTGTCGACTCTGTGTTGGTCTAGAAGCAATATAACATCAATAAACACAAAGGGCATTTTCCTAGGCATTGATGAAGCCAGTAAACGTTTCAGAAAAAATATGGAAATCAGAAAGACGGCTGAAACCTGCCAACTCTCACTGCGGGATTCATTCATAGAGTGGCTCCTCTCACACATTTCTCTCTTCTTATATTTTGATACCCCCAGTAGTCCATTCCTAACATACAGATTCAAAGACACACCTCTCAGGTTTTTCTCCTTTGGTCTCAAAACTTCTGTTTTCCCTTAATTAGCAGTCCTGCAACTGTGCCCACATAAATTATGTTACCTAGCTATCACATACTGTAAACTGAATTGAAAATATGTTTCCTCATGTACTTTCTAATATTTGCTAATGACTCTCAACAGATTACTGTGGTATGAACAACAGCTTGTCAGAATATTTTTCAAGATATGTCAATTCATAAAGAGTAAGGTATGTCATGGATATTTTTACCACAAAGTTCAAGAGGGAGTCTGGCATTGAAAATCTTACTAAATCTCATATTAAAAATGTGACACATACAGAAACAATAAATGTTTCTATATAATTGTATTTCCCACGTATATTTACAGCAAAAATGAATTGATTTTGTTCAGTGAACTCTAACTGTGACACTCTCTTTGGCTACATCAAAAGATGGAACTGAAACAAGATGACAGAGTAAGTCTCTGTCCCCTAAAAGTCTTAGCATAGTAACTTAAAAACAGAAGGCTATCACTAAAAATCAAATATGAAAGAGAATAAGAAAAGTCTAAAAGGCAGGATCAGGCTAAATTCAAGCTACTCTCCTAAATATTGACTGAATCAGATTCATAAAACAACATGTTTTAATCAACTCCTAGCATGTAGCTCTGATAATGAGTCCCAATTATTTGCTTTTACAGTTGCATATATAAAAAGTACGTGCAGTGATCTCTTAGTCTGTGAAATTAACAAGTGGTAGAACTTTAACTGTGCTATTTCAATTACTTTAATTTACAACATCGTGTATGAATGCCACAATAAAAAACATCATTTTAAACTAAATCATACATGTAATACGAATGCTAAAGAAACCAGATATTTCATCAGAATAACTCATACTATTTAGTCCATCAATAAACAAGTGATAAAGGTCCCTCCTTCACAATACACTGATGGTTTGTTGTTCCGAGTAAAGAATGCAACCATTTTAGTTCATTCTCCAGTGTCTTGAAGAAAGGGACAGCTGGCAACATTACTTTTATTAAACCATTAAAATACCAGAACAAAATACTTTCTGTAAAAAAAACAACATTATTTTCTTTAACTTTATGAAAAGAATGGAAACAAATTTTTTTTCAATTAAAATTCAATAAATTCTAATTCACTGGAACAAAAACCATACACATGTGCTTTCTTAGAAAAACAGGAAGAATGCAATATGTAATATAATATATCTTAATCCCTACATCCTCATAGCTACAAACTGTTTGGAACTCATTCTAAGTTGTGACACTAATGGAAAAAATCTCAAATAAATTAAAAAAAGGTCAGATAAGTTATTAAATGTCTTAGGTTTTTACAGAAAACATCATCCAAGTGTTTTTTACTTTGTTCCAGCTGTTCCTCAGCACTTCACCCCGAAATGCAAGATGACAACTACATGTATGAAAAGACTGCCTTGGTGAAGCAAGGAACTCATTGCAGCTCCAATGCACAAAAGACTGTGTGTATGAGGTGTAAGCAGAGACAAGGTGAGTAATGAGTAATTTAGAAAGACCACAAAGTACAAAGGGAGTTCAGACTTGCAGCTTCTACTGCTCCAATAGCAACAAAAGGTTGAAGAGGGAAATATAAGCCTGTTGCTGCATTGGGCAGGTGACCTAGTGCCAGCAGACACAGATGGTGCTGAGGGACTCAATACCTCCAACAAGGTATTAAAGGTATCTGTTGTTTGGCAAAAGGGGTTCAAGAACTACCAACAGGACATGCAGCCTGAGTCAGGGATGACTTGCAAGATCTTGGTCTATATAGATGCATGTGATTAGACACATTGCATCCACAGTCACTTAGATAATCCGCCACTTTTCATCTCTGAGAAGTCACAGAGATGAAGGAAGGTCCTAAGCAGCTGTAGGAAAACCAATATGAGAACTAAAGACCAGTCTATCTCACTGAAGTTCCTGGAAAATTTATAGAGTTAGTTCTCTTGGAGTGCATTTATCTGGACATATGGAGGAGAAAAAGCTGACTGAGAACAATCTGCAATGACTTGTCAAAGGTAAATCATTCTTGACCACCTCACTTTCTATGATAAAATAACTGGTTTTAGTGATGATGGAAAAGTGGAGGATGTCATTTATCTCAACACTGTCACACTGAAAAATTAGGATCTTATGGTCTGTCTCTTCAGATGGGAAACTAGAGGGCTAAAAAGTCAGTTGAATGATCCAGAGTAAATTTTTATTACCACTTACTCCACCTGAGACAGTAACAAATGGAATATCACAAGGGTTGATTCTGGGATCTGACCTGTTTAAAATCTTAATCAACAACCAAGGGGAGGCAACAGAATGCAGTTTGCAATGGTTGCAGATAAAACTAAATTCAGAGAACCTTCTGGTAAGCTTGAGGCCCGGGCTGCCACCCAGAGAGACCTAGACAGAGTGGAGGAAGATGGCAAGAGCAACTTCATAGCATTAAGTCTACACATGCAGAATCCTGCGCCTGGAAAGGAATAACTCCATGCAACAGTACAGGCTGGTTTTAATCATAAAGGAAAAGGAGTCATCTACTTTAAATGATATTTTCAGCCACAAATTCTGAATAAAGTTTTTTTGCGCTTAATCCTTACCTTTGTATGCAATAATTGGGTGCTCAGCTCTGTGGCAGTGCATATCTTCTGTTGTTGTTGGTTCCAGTATCCCTAACACTCCAAGTCCTGCCAACAGCAGTGAGAAGAGGCAGCTTCCTTTCATGGTAGTCATGCTGTCCTCCACAGCAGTCACTTCTTTTAACTGTCTACTTTTCTTCCATTCATGTGGGAAAACCACCTGGAAAATTCAAAGAAATTTACTCCAGTACAAGAGCCAACCACAGGAAAAATAAGGCAATTCATGATGTTTAAAACAAAACAATGTTGCTTTCTTTCTATCTCTGTAGTATTAGACTACTCAAAAGCATGCTGTCAGCTGCTCCTCTAATTACTTCACAAACCTATCATCAGTTACCCAATTTAGCAATATGAATTCTCATCCAGTGGGATTAAAAAACTGATATTCATTACCCCTTTCAACCCAACTTCCTCACTTTAAAATTTTATTTTTAACATGTGTGGGAAAAATAATGTTCTCCAACATTTTTTATTTTATTCTCTTAGATACAGCACATGTATTTAAATATATCTTTCCTGTTCACTTGGATCCACTGCTTCTTGCTCTGCTTTCCTCACTGTGCTCTGACTGCTTGTGAGTACAAGGTAGGAAAGGAATTGCTCCTTCATGCTACTGACTTGAGAGAACAACAGCCCTAGAGCACCTGTCTCTTTGCCTATATGCAGAATATATACAGCATAGCACAGGAAGTGGTAAGACAGGGTTAATCTCAATGCTCTGATACACTTTTGCTTTACAGGAGTAAGGGTCACTGGTTATGACACTAGCTTCATTTGCACCCATTTGCCAAGACAAATGACAAGGCTGTGAACTGTAGACTCTAATGCTGAAGACCCCTTTCTACTAAAATTTAGACATGAATCAACACTGTAATTGTTTTCATTAGAACCAAAATAAAGTTGAAGTTCAACTCCCTGATTTTTTGACACATCCAATAACCAGACACTTGTATATGTAACAGAATATGTACGGTGTCAATATAGTTTTAAGTCCAACCCAAGTCCTTTAGTTTTATCATTAGAACATTCCAAGCAGTAACAACCTAATGATGCAGCCCAAAAAGCTTTTGCCACTGTCAGCTTCAATGAGTCGCAAAAACTTTCTTGCTAATTGCACAGTTATGAGACATCACTGCCTTTTAGGGGAGAAGACCAGATATTTGAGACAACTCCATAGTGGCAGAAACATCATTCTACTAACTAATAGTGATTCATTAAAAAAAAAAAAAAAAAAAAAAAAAAAAAAAAAAAAGCAATTTTGATTCTAATACATTTGATCTCCCTGAGTTGCAGTGTACTGTTTAATAAGATGGAAACTTTTTACTTGTGTAAAATAAACAACCTAAACACATAAAGGGCTGTTAATTAAAAGATACCCCACAGTATGAGCAGTATGTTTTAAAAGCTACACTCAGAAAGCAGAATGGATAGTAAACCTTGGTCCTTAGCATTACTGTTGCACCAGCCTTCATAAGATGAACTGCTGTTCTCCTACTACCTTATTTTGCTTTCTTCCAGCTAAGACCTGGAGACTTCTAATCCTTGCTATTTTAAACTAAAATATGTAGATCAAAGACATAATACACCTGAGTGGTACATAAATTTAACAGTCAATTTTCTGTTCTCTGCTAAATTTGCTTATGTTACTGAAAAAAAAGTGGGGAGCTCCTAGGCAGTTACATTTATATTTTTACCTTCCTAAGTAGTATATCTTATGATGTCATGTACCAATATGAATCTGTCTCTTCAAATTGTTTGTGGCTCACAGCTGGCAGTATCTGCTCATAGAAATTCTGTGCACTCACGTATATAAGGGCATAAAGTGCTCGTTTCAATGTTTTGATAGTCCATTTTCTGCAAGGGTGACATTTCAATGTATTAGGTACTATTCTTATACAAAATCAACTCAGTTTATGTGGGTTATAGCACAGTTAATGGATATTCCTAACTTAAATATCATACAAATACATTACTAACAGCTAGTTCTAATTCATGTTTCTGTAAGAGTACATATGTGTATGTAGGAAGCAAAACGAAGGTCTGATACCACATCACAGACTGTCAAAAGCTGTTTTTCTTGTACACAGTACAGCAGCAAGTATTCCAACACCAAGGAATATGGTACTTTCATGATGAAAAAGAGCTAAAAACTTTATTTCTTTTAATTTTTAGTCT